TCTTAGTGTAAAAATATGTGGTTTAGCATCTCCTGCCAAGTCCAGCTCTGAAATGCATAGAATTCAAACAATGGTGCAAAACCAGGATTCAAGAACTGCCTGTGTTGCTGGTCTGGATTCAGTAGGTTTCCTGTGTCTTATCAAACCCAGGAACAATGGTCTCTGGAGCAATACATACTGGTGCTTGTGGAGCCACAAGGAAACAAGCATAGACCGGCTACTCTATTCCAAATCCTCCACTAAAAGAGTTTCTATTCTTATACACTGAGTTGTTATAGTAATTCATTGTTACTTTATTTGGAAAATATCACTTTAATTAAATTCTATACATTTGATAGTGGTGTTCTGAATTTTAGCTCTCCACTTTCCCCCTTCTCCTTGAAGAATGACTTAGCCACCAAATTCCCCTGAGCCAAATTAAAAAAATTTTTTTAAAGCAGCATCACTATGTAACTGTGGCTGGTCTAGAGCTCAGTACGTAGACCAAGATGTCCTCAAACTCACAGAGACCCATCTGTTCTGCCTCCTGAGAGCTTCAATTAAAGGTGTGAAACACTACATCTGACCCTCTGGGTCAGTTTTTGAAGCCTCATTGCTGTGGAATAATCCTTCTGTACACTGTGATATGTATTAATCTCATTGGTTAATAGAGAAGTTGTTGAACTGTTTAAGGGTCCCCGAGGCAGTCCCTGGTGCATGAGCTGGCTTTTTGGAGTCCAGTGCCTATTGTGGGACACCTTGTGCCAGCCTTGGTGCAGAGAGGAGAGGCTTGGACCTGTCTCAACTGAATGTACCAGGCTCTGCTGACTCCCCATGGGAGACCTTGCCTTGGAGGAGGTGGGAATGGTGGATGGGTTGGGGGGAAGGCTGGGGGGGGCAGGAAGATGGAGGAGAGGGGGAGCTGTGGTTGGTATGTAAAATGAATAGAAAATTTCTTAATAAAAATTTCTTAATAATAAAACAAACAAACAAACAAACAAAAGAAACTGATATATAGCAAGACAGGATAAAGTTAGGCAGGACAATCAAACTGAGGATCCTGGGATGAAGAGGGGTAGAGTCAAGGAGACACCAGCCAGCCACTGAGGAAGCAGGATGTGTAGAAAATGAGGGTAACAAGTCATGAGCATTGTGGCAAAGCATAGATAAGAAATATGGGTTAATTTAAGTGATAGCTAGTAACAAGCCTGAGCTGCCGGCTGAGCATTTGTAATTAATATTAAGCCTCAGGGTGATTATTTGGGAGCAGGCGGTAGAGACAAGAAAAGTCTGCCTACACCTCATGATGGATTTGGATAATTTGTTGGATAAAACTTTATATCACCATGTCTCTTTCTGTCTCCTCCCTGCCATTGGTTTTGTTGCTTTAGGCAGTGTCTCTCTATGTAGCCCCTGGCTCACATGAAACTTGCTACATAGACCAGGCTGGCCTCGAACTTCCAGAGATTGCCTGCTTCTGCCTTCTCCTGAGTGTTGGAATATGTCTGTTATATCTTTGAGTTCCTTTTCCTCTCCTTCATTTTAAAACCACTTAGTAAGTCTTTCCAAGTAAACTCCTGCACAAAATTGTACATCTTCATTACCAGTGTGTAAGTATTGTATGAAATACAAGCTATTAAGTAACAGTAATAACAGCCCTCTTGATATTTTGGTTGTTGCTGCTCTCACTTGAGATATGTTTCTTACTCCTTATTTGTTCACTCTGTGGGTCAAAATGGATAATAGCCATAGCTGTGAAATGTAAGAGCAGTGCCAAGGATTCATAGCATTTATGAACAACAAAAGGAATGCTCTAGTTTCAAAGAAATCGTATTACACGTGATGACACCAGTTTGTGAGATCTTGAAAGAATCTAGAAATCATCTTTAGAGACTTAATTGGAAAGCTCTAGGAAATGCAGTGAGCTCCAGTTCTAACTTGGGGACCCTTAGCTAAGGAGTTTGGAACTTATTTTCCAAGTAGTAAAAAAGATTTATTGAAGTTACTTTAAGCAGCATTGGAAAGATTAACAAAGCATAAATTGAATTAATTGACATAATTATTCCCAATAAATTTGAATGAAGGAAAAATAGTGCAAAGATAAGGAGAAATTATAGGAGTTGAAGCTTGAAGGGAAAGAGTCTAAACTAAGGTGTGTCTAATAGGTTTTATATCACTGCGATGATACATCATATATTTAAGGGAGGAAACATTTGTTTTGACTCAGAGCTCCAGTCCAAAGTTGCTTGGCCCCATTGCTGGAGGCCTGTGGGTGAGGTGGAACATTCTAACAGTCGGGGTGTAGTGGAGCAAAGCTGCTTACCTCATGGATTCCCCAGAGACAAAGAGACACAGACCAATAGAAAGGGGCATAGGAACAAGATAGAACTTTCCAGAGCATGCCCCGTGGCTTATTTCCTTAAGTTAAGCCCTTCCTTCCAGTAATACAATCATATTCTGAATTCATCAAGGGCTTAATCCACTGATTAGGTCAGAACCTTCAGAATCCAATCACTTCCTCAAAGTCCATCAGATGGCAAGCAAGACTTTAACACACAAGCCTTTTAGAGGGGGAGACATCATATCCAAACCAGCAGGAAGGAAGGCTGATGCAAGACCTTGCATGGGAAGAACCAACTGAACTGAACTTGCTAACTGTATCTGAGGTGGGAATGTGGGACGGGAGAAAGATATAGTCCTTCTTAGTTTCCCAGAGTGGGATTGCTTGGAATAAAGATAGTTCCATTGGCATTTACAAGTGGGATAGTGATGCTTTTAGTTTCAAATGCACTGAGTCAGAGAATGCAATAAGATATTGAAATGAAAATGTCTGGGACCTGGTTGGTAATTCAAAACTGTAATCTTAGTATAGAAATTTGAGATATATCCAATTGATGCTGAAAATATAATACAATTTTGGTAAACTAAAAAAATCAGCAAATACTTATATGCCCTCTATAAGGGTATATGGCTACCTCTGAGGGGGGACCATATCAAGACAAGAGTAGAGAGTCAGAGATTTACAGTTTGCATGTTGAGTATAAGGGTAAGTGGGAATGATGTGTCCTAGTTAGGGTTACTATTGCTATGTTGAAACACCACGACCAAAAGCAAGTTGTGGAGGAAAGGGTATGTTTGGCTCACACTTTCACATTGTAGTCCATCACTGAAGGAAGTCAGGACAGGAACTCAAACAGGGCAGGGACCTGGAGGCAGGAGCTGATGCAGAGGCCGTGGAGGAGTTACTGGCTTGCTCCTAATGGCTTGCTCAACCTGCTTTCTTATAAAAGCCAGGACCACCAGCTCAGGGGAGGCACTACCTGCAGTGATCTGGGCCCTCTCCCATCAATCACTAATTAATAAAATACCTTACGGTTGGATCTTATGGAGGCTTTTTTTTAAAATCAAGGTTCCCTCTTTACAGATGGCTCTAGCTTGTGTCAAGTTGACATAAAACTAGCCAGCACAATGGGTCAAAGAAAGAGTAGAAACAAGAAAATGTATATGAATGAGGGCCAAGGAAAGAAGAACGTTTCAAACAGAAACTAAAGAGAATAAAGACCCAGAGAATGCTGAGGGATCTAGCCCCTAGGAAGTAACTGGTACCCCTTGTGTGACCAATTCTCTATTAATAAGTGTGGAAATAATGAAGATCATTTTAATTCACTAAACATTTTCACTCGCTATCACTGTCTTCTTTTGCAAACTGGTCAGGTCTCACAAAATTCAGACCTAGTTCACATATTTTTCTTTTTTTTTAATTATAGAGATGAAATTTTGGACTACATTAATTCTAGACAAGAAGCTGAAGAGAAATCATCATATCTTATCATTTCTGACCTCACATTTGGTGTTATAGTATAACACTAAAAAATGGGAATACGTTTAAGGAATTATCTTACTGTTCTAAGGGCTCTTGTCCAACCATATTAAGATCGCCCCTGCCTATCTCAGATCATATTCTACATAAAGAATATCATTCTGTTTGGATTATTAATTGCTGCAAAAGTAGGGTTAAAGTTTGAGTCACATAAAAATGCTTTGGAACTGAAGTCTCTGAAATTTTGACCACTACAAACAGAGTGTATTTAACTTAAGCGCCACTTCTACTTAGAGAATGGACCCTATAAAGAAAGTAAGTCATACTCTTGGTATCTGTTCCTTGGGTGGAGCACACACATAGCTCACTTTCAGAAGTTATTTGGTTTCTTAAATATTTAGCAGTTTCAGATCTAAGTCTTAACTGTCTGTGACTCAGCTGCAGTGTGATCTTTTCACTTCTCCAAAGTCACTCAACTATGTCATCCTTATTTCCTGTCCTGAAAGAAGCTAGCCTCAGAGGATGCTGAAAGGGTTAAGGTAGAATGTCTGAAAAGTGGAAGAGCACAGCTCTCCAGAGGTAGCTTCTTATCTCTCTCCTTACGTGTGTGTGTGTGTGTGTGTGTGTGTGTGTGTGTGTGTGTGTGTGTGTGTACGTGCATGTGTGGGCATATGCCCATATGTGGTGTATGTGTGTATTTGGTTGTAAGTGCAGATGTATGGAGGCAAAGAGCAACCTCAGATATCTTTCCTCAGGAGTCATCTACCTTGTTTTGTGAGACAAGGTCCTCACTGGGATCTGGAGCTTGTCAATTAGGCTAAGCTGGCTGGCCAGTGAGCCCCAAGAATCAACCTGTTTCCACCTCTCCAGCACTGGCATTGCAAATTGAGTTACTACCCCTGGCTTTTTAAATTTTTTTTTACTTATTTATATTTTGAGACAAGGTCTTTCTATGTTTACCTGGCTGGCATGGAACTCACTATGTAGACCAGTCCACCCTCAAACTCATAAAGATCTGTCTGCCTATGACACCCAAATACTAGGATTAAAGGCATGTGCCACCAATGCCGGCCCACACTTGACTTTATGTGGGCTCTGAGAATCAAACTCAGGTTCTCCTGCTTTCAAGGGAGTACTTACTATACCAAATGAGCCCCTTACCTCTTTCTTTGGAAAAATTGTTCTTGGAATTGTATTACAGAAGCTGAAAAGGCAATCTACTAAGTACAAGGCAGACAAAACCTACCCTACAACAGTGGCCCAGAAGCCCAAGAATATCAAGAAAAACAGATACAAGGATATTTTGCCCTGTAAGTTCCATTTCTTCCTGTAAGCTTATACTTCCAGTTTTATCCACCTCTCTACTTTTTAACCAAGTACTTGTTCTTAACCTTGGAATATGGCACTGACAAACCAATTGTACTATTTATGACTACAAAAGAACATTCATCCGTTCAATTACTTGTTCACTTATCAAACACTTTTAACAACCACTCTTCTTGAGATCTGACTGAACCCTCAATGTTGGACTCCTTAGTTACACCGTGTCTTTCTCTTGTGTTCCAGATGACCATAGCCTGGTAGAGCTGAACCTGATAACTTCTGATGAGGATTCCAGCTATATCAATGCCAGCTTTATTAAGGTAGATGGAGAGGAAATAAAAGCACTCCATATTTTTCTGAGCACCTAAAATGGGATGGGGAGAGGACCAGGGAGAAGATGCTGTCTGTTGTCACCTCATGTGATTTCTGTTCCCTTTAGGGTGTCTACGGACCCAGGGCTTATATTGCCACCCAGGGTCCTTTATCTACAACTGTCCTGGACTTTTGGAGGATGATTTGGGAATATCGTGTCTTGGTGAGTGTCAAGTTGCTCTTTGAGCTTTGGTGGAGGGGGCAGGATGCAGGATGTGACTGAGGTTTCCCAGCTGTGCTTTTCTTATGGTTTGGTGAGATTTCAGAGTGCAGGTACCTTTTATCAATATTACGATGTATTCGTGTTCAAGAAAATGAAAGCTGATACCTTGACAGGCTCTCTTGGTAACAAGAATGCTGGTAAGAGAACAGGGAAGTGGGGACAGAAAGAAGGAAGAGTAAGACCATCTCCTAAGTCCACTGGGGTTTCTTTTTGTGTTAGAAAGCAAAGCCGACAGAAAAACAACACTTGATACTTTCTGATTCCGGGACTCATGCAGGACTGTCTTCTCTAACTCTGTAGATGTTCAAATTTCTGTGTCTTGCCTTCAGGTCATTGTCATGGCGTGTATGGAGTTTGAAATGGGAAAGGTGAGTTGCTTTTCAGTCCTGGTAGACCTAAAGGTAAAGTAAGGAGGGCAATGGTGGTAGAACTTTCTTTAAGTGTGTCTGGGGAAAACCATACCATTTTCCCAGTTTTCAGTTTGGGGATACCACATGTTGTATAGGGGGCTTCACCTCCGAGAACCCCTTTTATCCATTTTTCCAGTAACTCTTGTGCTCTAAAGTTAAAGGAAGAAAGAAAGGAAGTAAAGGAGAAAAGAATGTCACTTTCTTTCTGATAATCAGATGTTTTAACTGTCCATTAGAGACTCACCCTGTGCTGCCCCAAACAGCATCCACCACCACATGTAGCTGTTAAGCACTTGCCAGGGATTGCATGGAGGAAGGACTCAATGGTTTTATTTTAATTGCTTTAAAACTAAAACTTCAGCTATTGAAAAATGTATTTTGGGGTATGTGGAACTTTTTCAAAGATAAATTTGATTTACTATAACTGAAAATATTTCCAGTGAAAATTTAGCATTCTACTTGAGTGATATGTGTAAAATTTACATAAGATTTTAATATTTGTTAAAATAACAAGGCAAGCACATATATACTATTGTATCTGGATTACATGTTAAATATTTTGGTATAAATATTGGGCTAAAATGCATTTCACCTATTTTCATTTTTAAATGTGGTGTTAGAAAATTTAAACCTAACAGTGTGACTGGCATTTCTGTTCTAATCTACTGTGGCCATTCCGAGTTGGGAATTCCAATCACAATTGGGGGGATCTGGCTCTTAACTAGTGCAACTGTTTTAGTCAACAATTTCAGGGTTTTTGAGATGCTGAACATAGGTCAGCAATCACTATTTCTACTCTTCAGACTCCTAGGAAGTCTATAATTCAGACATCCTTTAATGTCTGTTTTTTATCCTTTGGAGATTCCTGATCATGTTGCTAGAGTTGAATTCCAAGGGGGTTAGCCGTGCCTAACCTAAGATGAAGGACACAGAGCTGCTTCTGGATGAGGGAATGGGTTTCATCTTGCAGGAGAGACTAGACTATATGGAGGGAAACCATTACCTTCTGTTTTATGCAACAGAAAAAGTGTGAACGCTATTGGGCTGAGCCAGGAGAGACACAGCTGCAGTTTGGCCCTTTTTCTATATTCTGTGTAAGTATGATGTGTTTCTGTTATGGCTAAGCAAAGCCTCCAGGATCTACATTTTAAAGAGCGTGCCCTTGAAATTGCTGATAATTTAATTTTCTCCTTAGGAAGCTGAGAAAAAGAAATCTGATTATATAATAAGGACTCTGAAAGCCAAGTTCAATAATGTAAGTATAGAACAGCAGTGATAAAGCTGAGAGCCTACTGAGATAAGACAGGTAAACATGTATGTGTGTGACTCAGGCTGGGCATACAGTTATGGGGAGAGTTAGGGCCTTTGGTGTCTTGAGTAAGTCTTCATAGTCATAAGACATTCTGCCCCCAATCTGTTTCACACCACAGCACACACAAAAGTGATATTGGTAGTATGAATAGAGGTATTATGAACAGTGGTTAGACATTAGGGACCAACATGACAGCTGATGATGATGCCTTAGACTCTACCCTGCCTTGCTAAAGGTCAGGGGATTCAATATACCAGTATGTCTGTGAACTATTTGAGACATGCTAATTTGAGGAAGATTTGGTTTGTACTATTTTCATATCTACCTCCTCTTATATAGGTGGGTTGTTAAGGATAAGACAATGGAAAACATCCTCATATTACTTTCAGTTATTTTCATAAGGCTTGAGAGGTATATAGAAGAAAGCAGAATTGCAAGAATAAAAGGCTACAGATGGAACTTAATCAGACTAACCTTTTAGTAGAATGGGGTAGAAGCCTAACCTTGAATTCTCCATTTGTTCTATTTTTTTAATAGAAAACTAGAATTATTTACCAGTTTCATTATAAGAATTGGCCAGACCATGATGTGCCTTCATCTATAGACCCCATCCTTGAGCTCATCTGGGATATACGTTGTTACCAAGAAGACGACTGTGTTCCCATATGTGTTCATTGCAGGTGAGATGCTGTGAGTGAACTTTCCATTGAGAACAAGCAAAATGAGGCTGTGGTTGGGGTGCAATTCAAGAAAAACAGTCAAGAGCTGAAACAATCTAGTATAAATTCAACTGGTGCATTAAATTCATTTCTTTAAGATTTGTTTGTGTGTGTATGCACATATGTGCACCCATGTACATGTGTCACAGCCTACATGTAGAGATCCAAACACAACTTTGGGGAGATGATTGTCTCCCCAAAGACAACCACGTGGGTTCTGGGGATCGAACTCAGGTCATTAGGCAAAGGCAGCAAGAACCTTTACTCATTGAAACATTTTGCTGAACATAAAATTTCTTTAAAGTTATTTATGAACAGTGGTTCTGGGAACTCTCATGTGAAGCTGCCAATACCTGTGGCATGACACACATGTTCTGGGACATGGTAGGACTTGAAAAGTTTCATTTCCTCCCTCCTCAAGTCTACTAAGGAATTTTCCAACCATCGTCAGTTCTCTCTCTCAACAAGTGCACGTGCTACCGTGGTCTTCTGTTTCAGTGCCGGCTGCGGGAGGACCGGTGTCATCTGTGCTGTTGATTACACACGGATGCTGCTGAAAGATGGGGTGAGTTTCCCAGCAAACACTTCCTGTCTTCTTGCTGCATGCATCTTCCACTTTCAGAACATCTTCACTACTCACCTTTTCTTACAGGGTGGGTTATTTGTAAATCTACCCTGTTATATGATTAAATTAGTTCCTAAGATGGTGATTCTGAAGGTGTGGTCCCCGGGGGAGAAGGTATAGCTTAAAAATAATGTACTTGTCTTATGACAGGAGGCCCTAAGTTTGATCTCCAACATGATGAAGTACAATTCTCTGGGATCAACATTACATGAGAAATGGTTAGAAATATAAATTATGGACTCCTGCCCACTGATGAATCTAGAAAGTTTGGAGGGTGTGAGCCAACAAGCCCTCTGGGTGATGCTGAGAAATGTTCAAGTTAGAGAACTGCTGCCCTGAATTGTTTATTTACCCCTTCGCTATCCAAACTGTTTTAGTAGATGGATTCAACGTACTACAATCAAGCTTTGTGCTGTTGTCTAGAAATGTGTGTGTGTGTGTGTGTGTGTTCGCATGGATATGTGCATGGATGTGCGTGTAGGGTGCATATGTGGAAATTCATATTGGGGTCTCTCTTACTTTTTTTTCTATCTTTTTTTTTTTTTTTTTAAAGATTTATTTATTTATTTATTTATTTATTTATTTATTTATTATGTGTACAGTGCTTTGTCTGCATGGTCAGAAGAGGGCACCAGATCTCATTACAGATGGTTGTGAGCCACCATGTGGTTGCTGGGAATTGAACTCAGGACCTCTGGAAGAACAGCCAGCACTCTTAACCGCTGAGCCATCTCCCCAGCCCTCTATCTTTTTTTTTTTGAGGCAGAGTCTCTACTGAATCTTAATTTTGATAGGCTGGCTGACAATGGGCTCCAGGGACCCGTTTGTCTCCCTGAGCACTGGGATTTTAGACAGGCCTGGCTCTCACGTGCGTGCTTGGGATCTGAACTCAGGTCCTCATTCTTGCATGGCATGCTCTTTACCAAGTGAGCTATCTCTCCATCTCTAGGGAAAAAAAACATTTTTTTTTTCCAAGACAGAGTTTCTCTGTGTAGCCCTGGCTGTCCTGGAACTCACTCTGTAGTCCAGGCTGACCTCGAACACAATCTGATCTACCTTTGCCTCCTGAGTGCTGGGATTAAAGGCGTGTGCCACCATACCTGGCCAATTAAAAAAATTAAACATTTTATGTGAGTGGGTATTAGACCTGTTTGTATATCTGTGTGCCTTTTACATGCCTAGTGCCCATAGAGGCCACAAGAGAACACCAGTCCTTGGAAATTAGTTACAGATAGTTGTGAGCTACCAAGTATATGCAGGGAATAGAACCTGGGTTCTCTGGAAAAGCCAGCGTTTTAGCTGCTGAGTTATCTTGCCAGTCCTTAGAAATCAGTTTTTATGTCTGTTAGGAAATGAGAAGTTTAAAATAGGGCTTTAGATTTTCTAACTTCTTTTATTTCATAAAACCTCAGATGAATTATCTATTAAGCCTTATCTTTGTGGCATTAGACATTTTATCACCATGTAAAATTGTTCTAAATTATATTAGTCTTTTCTAGTGACAACACCAGCCTCTAAATCAGTGTTTCTCAATCTGTAGATGACAACCCCTTTGGGGTCAAATGACCCTTTCAGAAGGGTTGTCTAAGACCATCAGAAAACACAGATATTTACATTACAATTCATAATAGTAGCAAAGTTACAATTATGAAGTAGCAATGAAAATATCTTTATGGTTGAGGATCACTATAACATGAGGAACACCCAATGTGTATTAAAGGGTCACAGTATTAGGAAGGTTGAGACTACTGCTCTAAATCATGGTGAAAATTATAAGAAACTACTGGCTTTCAAAATGCATCCTTGGGGCTAGAGATAATGGCTCAGGGGTGAAGAGCACTGGCTGCTCTTGCAGAAGTTTGGTTCTCAACAACCACATGTCAGTTCACAGTCGTCAGTAACTCCAGGTCCAAGGGATCCAATGCCCTCTTCTGCCCTTTGTGGGTACCAGGCACCCAAGTGGTGCATTTACACGCAAACACTCATACACATAAAATAAAAACACATATTTTGTAGTGCATTCTTGGGGCTAGGGATATAGTTCAGTTGGTACAGCGGTTGGCTAACAATGCTTTATGGTTGATCTGTCTAAGCTGTGTAAACCTGGGTCATGAGTATGGTGGCACACACCTATAACCCTAGCATTTGGAAGGTAGAAGAAGCTGAAGGTCATCCTTGTCTACACAGCCAGTTTAAGGCCAGCTTGGGCTAAACGAAACCCTGTCAGAAAGAAGGAAAGAGAGGGAGGGAAGGAGAGAGGGAAAAGGCATTCTTTTCTTGGTGTTGTTCTATATTAGAGGAATGGGCGTCACAGGAATACAAAACTATGAGAAAACGGCACGGTTTGTTAGCAAAAAATAAAAAGGAGTAAAAGAGTTTTCTCTTTGACTTGACAGATAGTTCCTGAGAACTTCAGCATTTTTAGTTTGATCCAGGAAATGCGAACACAGAGGCCTTCACTAGTTCAAACTCAGGTAAAGACTGGTGAAGAGATGACGGGGTGTGTCTGTGTTCACGGTGACACGCCCAGAGCTGCTGAGTATGCAGGCGACACTAACTTGTTGCTGTGTGGTTTCCTCTAACTCTGGATTTCCCTGGTCTTCATGCAGCCCTTGTCCTGGGTCAGGTTATTTTCATTCCTCATATTTTACTGTCTACAATATTATTTCTTGCTTACAAAAGAAATTGAAAACAATTCAGTGAGTTTGACTTATTAGAAAGAACCGGCCACTGTTATGGGTCATAAGTTAACTTGAAGTTTTGCAGTTACAAATCCATCTACAAAGCCACAGAAAATCAGGGACTTGCCATTTCTACTTCAAGAAATGATATAATCTCTACATTAGGAAGCAATGAGGAAGGAAATTAGAATAAGCAGATGCCTGTTACATCTGTTACTTCTGTTGCTTCTCTTACCATTTCCTACAACCTTTGAACCCGTGCTAGATTGCCCACACTGGTCTATTTCACCAGGAAGACTCTTCTGAGCCCAAATCTCTCATTGCCTATAGTATTAATTTCACACATATTTATACACCAATAACTTCACTCAACTTTATACAGTTACACATCTTTAACATGGAGCTTAGCATTTATCCACTCAGCGATTCACTCATGCATTTAAGTTTTTATTGATATTTATTATGTATAAGACATTTTTGTATATTTTTTAAGAATTGTCTTTAAGTAGAAAGACCTTGACGTGTTTCAAGTCCCTTACAAATGAACTTGCACACAAGTTTGAGATGAAGCAGTTCAAAGTGGCAGTTTAGATATTTTAATGTACAGTTGTGAATGAAGGGAAAAAATGAAGAGCTATTAATACAAAAGTGTCTGTTTGGCCCACACAGGTTTTCCATGAGCAGGTTGTGGAAAAAATAATTTTTCATGTGTTGCCTGTAGGTGTTTTCTATATTCAACTATGAGGGGAAAGTTTATGTGAACTGGAAGTCTTAGATGGCTTAGTGCTGTCAGGCTTGAAAGGAAGGTAATGCATATAAATTCACAGACACCGGGAAGCATGAGCCTTGTTATATGAACTGCAGTGTTAAATTAATAAGCATAGCCTATTTCAGAAAATTCCATCTCTGTCGGCCTAGTTTTAGGAGTTTGAAGGGAACCGAAGAAGCTTTCCTATTTCAGCACTGTTACTAACTAGCTAAACAAATCTAACGGTTGTAGCTGATTCTTCTGACACTGCAAAATGGCAATCTGGCCAGATGATGCTTCCTGTTTTAGTCCCATTCTCACTCAGTCTCTGCCTTTATCTCTGTCTCTCTCTCTGACAGGGTCTTATCTCATACCCCAGTCTGGCTTAGAATTTAATATTGAGGGCCAGGCTGGCCTTGAAGTTGCAACAATCCTTCTGCCTCAGCTTCCTGAGTGCTGGGATTACAGAAGTGAACCACAATTGCTGGCTACGTTTTCTGTCTTAAAAAATGATAGCATTCCATGACTATGTTGGGTGTTAGAGATGCTACATTGTTCTCCTGCTAAAAAACCCCCGTTGAAACATCCTTTATTTGTATGGGATTGTGTAAAGTATGAGAGGAAGTGCTTCAGGAAGAAGAAAGGCCAAAATGAAGTATTACAAGTATTACAAGCCATAAACCTTGTAATACATGGTAAGAATAGAGGTCTCATTTCTCTACATTGAATCCTTTTGTAACCACAGATTTTCAACTTTTTATTCAGTGGTTTACTTTTCTTTGGTATCTTTATTAGGACAAAATTTCAGCAACTTGATCTAAATACACTAAACTAAGTCAGAAGATTCAGTTTATAAGTCACATGCAGGAATTACTTCTGAATGGCCTTTGACAAACTGACTGTAAACAGGTATAATAGCCTTCTACCTCATAGAGCAATTGTGAAGGTCAAATTAGAAAACACATATTGAAGTTATCAATTCATATACCACCCATTACCTGATTTTTTTTCCATAAATGAAGGTGATTTACTCAAGATACATCTAGAATAACATGTAAACAAAAAATGCTAGCAAAGAAAACAGAGATGAAAGATAAAAAGGAAAAAGTAGGGTTAGAATATGAAAGAAACATGGCATAAAATCCTTGTGTGATAGCTAGAGTTATGTAAAGTAAGTATTTCTCATAGCCTAAAAGTATGCACAGATCTGCAGTGAATGATGGAGCATACAGCGCTGTTTACTGAGTTTAATAACATGTTGATAGATGTTCCTGTTTTGAAATCAGTTTCTGTAATTCACCTAATGTTTTTGTGTTCTTCATTTGCCTGGCTTGTGATACTCTCCAGGAACAATACGAACTGGTCTATAGTGCTGTGTTAGAACTATTTAAGAGGCATATGGATATTATTGGAGATGAACACTCTGGAAGAGAGGTAATGTTGAAATTACATATTATTTTTTTCATATGTTTTTGGCCAAAGTATTTGTAGGGCTTATGTATGGTCACACCTGAATTGGAATGTCAGGATTTCATAGGGCTATGTCAAAATCTCCTGTAGAGGACAAATTAATTTGGGGTAGTTTAACTTAGAAAATTCACAACTTGATTACCTTATTACATATAATTTTCAGCTAAATTTAGAAGCTGAATTCAATTAGGGCAAGCATGTGTTTTGATCCCAAGTTTTAGGCAATTTATTGGCAAGTTAAATTTGAATTCATAAATTTATAGGTGAGTGCTTTTTCAGGTTCCATCTGTCTTACTTTATAGCATACATCTCACAAATTTTTTTTTAAATTGAGCTAGGTGTTGTGACACATTTCTTTAATCCCAGAGACAGAGGCAGGTGGATCTCTGTGAGTTTGGAGGCCAGCTTGGTGAGTTCCAGGCTAGCCAGGGCTACACAGTGAGACCCTGTCTCAAAGAACAAAAAAAATAACAGAACAAAATTGAATATATTTATAATATATAATATGTTTTAAAGTTTGTATACATTGTGTAATGACTAAATCAAACTAATTAACATATTCATTACTTTATATATTTATAAAGACCTATAGTCTATGCAGTTTCTAATACATAATACCTCATCATTAACTGTAGTCACTGTATTTTATAGTAAACCTCTTGAATTTATTCTTTTTAATCTAGTTGAAATTTTGTTTGTTTTTGTTTTTGTTTTGGGGTTTGTTTTTGTTTTTTTGTTTTCCCAGACAGGGTTTCTTTGTATAGGCTGTCCTGGAACTCACTTTGTAGGCCAGGATGGCCTTGAACTCAGATTTGTCTGCCTCTGCCTCCCATGTGCTGAGATTAAAGGTGTGTGCCATCACCACAGGGCTCTAGTTGAAATTTTGTATCTGTTGACCAACATTGCCTCAAAATCTTCCTCTTTCTAGTCTCTGGTAGTTACCATTCTGCTCTGTGTCTATGAATTTGGATTATTTTAGAGTCTATGTAGGAATTATGCAGTATTTGTCTTTCCATGTTTAGCTTATTTTACTTAGCACAATGTCCTCTAGGTTCATTCATGTTGCCAAAAACAAAAAAGATTTTATTTATTTTATATATATGAGTGCTCTATCTGCATGTACAACTTTATGCCAGAAGAGGCCATCAGATCTCACTAGAGATGGTTGTAAGCCACCATGGTTGCTGGGAATTAAACTCAGAACCTCTGGAAGAGCAGTCAATACTTTTAGCCAATGAGTCATCTTTCCAGACTCCCACCCCCACTTTACTATTTTTTTAATGGTACTTGGAATTGAACATGGGGCCTTGTGAATGCCAGGCAATTGCTTTAGCGCTCTGAGCTATATCACCAGCTCTGGTTTTCAACTTTTTAATTTTGAGACAGGGTTTTGCTAAGTTGTGCAGGCTGGCCTTGAACTTATGATTCTCTAGCCCCAGTCTGCTAAGCAGCTGAAATTATAAGCCTGTGTCACCATGCCTGGCACTGTGTGTGTGTGTGTGTACCTACCAGTGCAGATGCATGTACAGGCCAGAGGTTAACACTAGGATGCCTTCCTCAGTGAAATTAAACCTCTTTGTTTTGACTAGACTGCCTAGCCAGAAAGCCCTCTCTCCCCTGGATCTACCTGTCTCTTGCCTTCAATATTGGGATTAGGTTCATCAGACTTGGCTTTTATGTGATTTCTGGGGGTCTAAACACATGTCCTCTTCCAGGCCATTCTTTCCCTCTTTTTAAAAGGGGTAATAGTATTCCTTTATAATACTACTGTAATAGCATGTGAATATATGCTACATTTTCTATATCCATTCATCTATGGATGGATACTTGGTTTGGCTCCATAACTTGTCTATTGTGAATATGCCACATATGAGTACACTACATTGATTTTATTTCCTCTAGAAATACCAGAAGTTGCACTGATAAATTATATGATAGTTCTGTTTTTAATTTTTTGAGGGCCCTGCATACTGATTTTTCATAATACACATACTAGTTCACGTTTCCACTGACAGTATATAAATGGGCCTCTTCTATCCCCCCAGTCCTGGGGATTGAACCAGACTCTTTTGTTTCCATTATTGATTAAATCACCTTACTAGTTGAGTTCTATTTAGATTTTCTATTTCTCCCTTAACCAACCAATTTTGGTAGGATGAGTATCTCTAAAATCTTAATCATTTTATCTAGGTTATCCAATTTGTTAGCATGCCATCAATATATGTGGCACTCCTATGCAATTGTTCATAGTATTTTAATTCTTTTTGTTTCCACAAGACCGGTAGTAATGTCCACATTTTCATCTTGTGTGTGAGGCTGGTTCCATGTGTAGATATGTGAAGGCCAGAGGTCAACTTCGGATGTCACTCTTCAGGAGCCATCAACCTTAGTTTTTGAGATGAGTCTCTCACTGGGACTCAGGAGTCACTGATTAGGATAGGCTAACTATCAGGAACCCCAGGGGTCCTCTGTCCACCTCTCTAGTATTGGGATTACAGGTGTGTTACACCATGCCAAATTTTTTAAATTTTAGGGGCCTATTCTGGGAATTGAGCATAAGCACTTTACCAAATGTGCTAGGAGTTCACTCCCTGTGTTCTCACTTTTGATTAATACTTTGATTTTTTTTTTTTTTTTTTTTGAGACAGAGTTTCTCTGTGTAGCCCTGGCTGTCCTGGAACTCACACTGTAGACCAGGCTGGCCTTGAATTCAGAGAGATCCACCTGCCTCTGCCTCCAGAGTTCAGGGATTAAAGGCATGTGCCATCTCTGCCTGGTGAATTTTTTTCCTTAATGTGACTAAAGCATAATCACTTTTATTGATCTTTTGAATTTATTCAGTTTTTCCATTTTTCATGTTCCCTATTTCATTTATCTCCACTGTAATCTTTAATATTTCCTTGCTGCTGCAAAGTTTGAGTTTGATTTTAGTCACTCCCCCACACACATACCTAGTTCCTTAAAATGGAAAGTTAGGCTGTTCAATTGGGATCTTTCTTTTTAAAACAAATATATCATTTATTTTATACTAATTCATCCAAGCTAAATAAACATATTGCTTTATATCTAATACAATATTTTATTAATTCTTTAAGAATTTATTACAGGGCTGGAGAGATGGCTCAGAGGTTAAGAGCACTGACTGCTCTTCCAGAGGTCCTGAGTTCAATTCCCAGCACCCACATGGTGGCTCACAACCATCTGTAATGAGGTCTGGCGCCCTCTTCTGTGTATATAATAAATAAATAAATCTTTAAAAAAAAGAATTTATTACAATATATTTTGATAATGTTTACCCCTACTTCTCCCCCTAATTCTTCCCAGAACTCACACTCGTGTCTCTACCCCTTCTTAATTTTGTGTCCTCTTTTGTAAAAAATAACCCACCAGCTCTAATTTGTGCTGCTCAATGTACTCATGGGTGTGGGACCAGCCGCTGGAGCAAGGGTGACTACCAGGAGCCACACCCTGAATAAAGCCGGACTCTCCCTTCTCCAGAAGCCATCGACTGTCCACAGCAACTTAGTTGGGCTTAGATATTATTGAGCCCATGTCCCACTTCCATGCTTGAATGTTGACTGGCTTGATTTTATGGAGGTCTTGTGCAGACAAGACTGCTGGCTTGATTTCATGAATGCAGTGGTCCCATCACGTCCAGAATGGACTCTTTCAGTCCATTCCTCCCTGAGCTTTCTCTCCCCCTTTCCATGATGGTCCCTGGGCCGTCTGTGTGTGTGTGTGTGTGTGTGTGTGTGTGTGTGTGTGTGTGTGTGTGTGTGTGTGTGTTGGGGAGTGGGAATGTTGTATTACTTCCTAGTCTTCAAATATTAAAATATTTTATTGACATTGCTTCATTAAAAACCAAAACAAACCAGACAAAAAAAACTCTTGACGTTTCTTTTGAAGATTGAAGCAGAATTTTCAATTCCTGAACAAAATCTCACTGTACAAGCTGACTCCTGTCCTCCGGACTTACCAAAAAAGTGAGTAAATTAAGCATATCTAAATGTTGACTAATTGTGCCTGAGGGATGAAACCTCATGTTCTGCTTCTCTGTGCTGCTGGGAAGAGACCTCTTTCCAGTCGGCATCATCACTTTCTCCTTCTGTTTCAGCGCCATGAAAGATGTACAAACGACGGAGCAACCGAGCAAACAAAGGATGGAGGCGGCCAGCGCAGATGCGTCTTCCTTCGACAGGACTTCTGAAACAAGTGCCAAGGAAGAGTTCGTTTTGCGTTCGGCTAAATCAAGCCCTTCTTTTGAGTTTTTAGAGCTAAACTGTGGGTGTAACAACAAGGTTGTCATAACCAGGGAAGGGCAGGCAAAGGCCTCTCCAGTCGTGGGAGAGCCCCTTCAGAAATACCAGAGTCTGGATTTCAGTTCCATTTTGCACGGGTCATGTCCTGGTGCTCCGCCTAGCACCACAGCAGGCAGGTGCAGCAATTCAAAGGGGCCGGTGATACGGACCAAATCAACTCCCTTTGAGTGGATTCCGCAGAGAAAAACAAGCGAGTTGGACATGGAAGACGGTTCTTCCTTCTTGGAATCTCAACTGCATGCGCCTTGTCTCATGGAGCTGCAGGCGCAAAGTGTGGTCCATGTTTCTTCCGAGGAACTGAATTATTCACTGCCACGTGCCTCTGAGCACTCAACATGCGATGCCCCTTGTGTACTGCAGCAAGGCTCCAACACTTTTAGGGTGCATTCTTGCACGTCTTTAGTAGAAGATACCTATTTTCCATCGTCACCCCCAAATAGTGCTGATTCTAAGATGTCTTTTGATCTGCCTGAGAAGCAAGATGGAGCCATTTGTCCTTGTGCTGTGCTGCCAGCCTCTTCTACAACCTCCCTTTCCTACTGCAACTCCCGCAATTCTTTAGTGGCAAGCCCTGGGACCAGTTTTCCCCCACCGTTAAACCAAGAGGCAGCTACAGAAGGTAAGCTACGTCCTCAAATTTGTATAACATTTTGGACCTTGCCTTGTTTCCATTAAATATTTTGTTTTCTCTTAACCCTTCTCTTCCTCTGCTTCTTTTTCTTCTTTTTCTCCTCAAAGAAATAAATTCTAGGAGTGTTCTGATGGTGTACTATAAAGACAATCGCAATGAGGCTCTCAGGTCTGGGGACCTATTTTCGCCAACAGGAAGGCTTTTAACATGGCATCCTCATTCCAGACTTGTTTATCAACAGCCACAGTTTACCTTTACCATACAGAAGCAGCTTCCCAAGTACAGAGGGCAAACTGGTCAACAGCACTGCACAGTCACCCAGAAATGTTTGTTACACACTTATGTGCCTGTAATGCGTTGACCACATTGCTAAGCATTGAATTCTCTTCCTGCAGGAGTGGGAGTGGTAGGACCTGATTTCCTGTGCTTTTCTCATCTTAGTAGATGAGGATATCTGCTTAGTATTGTGTGACTTTCTGAAATCTTTTAACACAATTTTCATATTTATGCCCTATAATTCTAGATTTTTACATATCAAACATACTGTTTTGTTTAACTGAGTAGTCAGAAAGTAATAGTGAATATACTATTAGAGGTTATTATATGCTGATGTTTTTCTTTGCCCTTTTCTTTTTAGTGAAGTGGATGGAACCTAGTGCCTCAGGCAGGTCAGGCAGGTGTCTAAGTGGAACCCCTAGCCCAGACCCTAATAATCTGATGTAGAAGATGAAGGAAGCGAAGAGCAAGTTTCATTTGCTTAGGCATATTGCCAGATAATCCATAAAGAGCATTTACTTAGTACAGAAAGCTTCTGCTTTATAACAGTATTGATTGCTGCTTCCCTTTTCCTCTTTTTGAAGTCATGAGACTTGAATCTAGCCAGTCAGGAAAGAGCTCTATCATGGAGGGATAGCCCCAGCCTGTGTTTCTTTCTGTCCTCTTTTCTTGATTTAGATAAGGCCTTCCTACTGAAGCCAGCCTAGAACTCATGGAGATCAGGCTGATCCAGAACTCACAGCAGTCCTGCCCTAGACTCTCAAGTGTGGGGATTAGTTTCTTTGTTTCCTTCTGTCTGTGTGTATGGCATGTGTGTGTGTGTACTGAACTCAGAGCTTGCCTTTCACTGCCCTGCCCCAGGCTGGGAACTAGCAAGACCTTGTCTCTGCCCCTTCCCCTCCAGGGCTGGGCTTATAAGCACAAATGGCCACTCAGGCTTTTCATGTGGATGCTGGGGATCTGAGCTCAGGTGCTCATCCTCATACAGTACAGTCTTACCCACCTAACCATCTCCCCAGGTTTTGTTGGTTTGTTCGTTTTCCTGTTTTGGTTTTTTCAGACAGGGTCTCAGGTAACCCAGGCTGGCCTCAAATTCTTTATATAAACAAGAATGACTTTGAAGTCTTGATAAGTATGTGCTATGAAAACCTAGCAAATTTGGTAGATGAGTAAATCATTTATTGCAAAAAATACTTTATATGGATCTGAGAAGGTTCTTCTTTTGACCTAATTCTTTTATAGTTTGATTATATTTAAAATGTAAGGAATTTTGTATTCTTTATTATGCGTGCGTGTGTGTGTGTGTGTGTGTGTGTGTGTGTGTGTGTGTGTGTGTGTGTGTGTCTAGATCAGTGAACCAGTGAACAGCTTGCAGTAGTGAGTTTTCTACTTCTACCATGTGGGGTCTGGATTGAACTCAGGTTGTCAGCCTTAGTAGCAAGTACCTTCACCTGCTGAGGCACCTCACCATCTCCTGTTTTCTTTTTATGAATAACCATCATGCTTTAAACATCTCAGAGCATCAAAAACAACAAAGAAAAGAAGTTATTTTCATATTGTAGCAAAATTGACATGTCTGCCATCTGGTGGCAGTTTCTTATAGTAGCATGTAAAGTGTTCTGCACAAATTCGGATTTTTTTTTTTAATTAAACAGAAAACATTGTAGGCATTTGAGCCTGCTCTAGATTTCTAGTCTACGTCCATTCCCAGAATTTTCTCCTTTTTTGATGAACTATTTCTATTTCTGTAATAAACTTCTATATTTTGGATTCTGTATGGAATAGAAAAAGGATTTTTTTCACCTTTTGTGTATATGAATGTTTAGCTGATGAAAAGTATCCTATTGTGAATTCTATAGAAAACAAAAGGGAAGAGTTATGTAGAAAATAATCCAAACCATCCTAACAGTGACAAAATGTTCGGGGATATTTAAACCTTTAAACCCAGTAAAAACTTCAAAAATCAAGTAAAGCTTTTACCTAAAAACAAATTCATTCTTTTTCCTAGAGTAAGCACATACAAATCTGTTAAATTTATATTTAGATTAGATGGGGATGTAAGGATCTCCTTTGTTCTCATTACAAAATTGTGATTACATTTCTGTCATTTGGACAGTGACTTCTCCGAGGATAGATGACGAAATTCCCCCTCCGCTCCCTGAACGGACACCCGAGTCTTTTATTGTGGCTGAGGAAGCTGGTGAGTACAATACAGTAAGTCTAAAGTGTGTTCCTTCCCAGGTCCCTCCAGTGTTCTATGTGCTGCTGAGCATCCATTTGTCTCTTTAAAAAATAACCTCATTCAGCTGGGCTGTGGTGGCACATGCCTTTAATTCCAGCACTTGAGAGACAGAGGCAGGCAGATCTCTGTGAGTTCGAGGCCAGCCTGGTCTACAAAGAGAGTTCCAGGACAGCCAGGGTGGTTATACAGAGAAACCCTATCTCAAAAAACAAACAAACAAAAATCCCATTCCTAAGAACCGGGCATATCCACTTTCTTGCAGGAGAATTCTCACCAAGTGTTACTGAGTCCTTACCTTGGTGGTGAAGGTAAGAATTGGAGCCTCACTGGAATGGAGTAGAGCATCTGACTCAAAGACCCACAGCTCTGTGGGACTTTATCAACTTTCGTCTGACTCAATTCATTTGTATTTAACAGACTATAGTTTATTCTACACATTTTATTTTTTTAGACATATTGATTTTGTTTTAGTTACACAAATGTTTTGCCTGTATGTATATATGTGTACCACATGTGTGCTTTGTGCCTATTGAAGTCAGAGAAGGGCATGGGATCCCCCAGGACTGGAGTTGTGGATGGTTGTAAGCCACTAGGTGGGTGCTGGGAACTGAACCCAGGTCTCCTGCCAGAGCTCTCTCCAGACTGTATTCTCTTCATTTTAACAACTGTCATGCAATAGTTAACTAAATTATAAATGTAAAACAACATGCTGGAGGATATGTGGGATAAGGAAGGTGTACAAGATACATCTCTCCCTCTTAAGAAGCTTACGTTTGAAGTACAGGATGTGTATATGAATCTTTGTTTATTATATCAAGACCATATATATCAATGATATGTGAAAGACAGGAGAGCCTTTCAGACTGAGAGTAATCAGAAAGGTCCAGTGAAAGAGAAAACATTTGAGAGGATTCCTAAGACAGCTAAGGCAAAAATGAATGTTTTCTAAGGAGTCAGATTATTCACTGTACTCACTTCATGGGCTGGATTGTGTTAGCAGTGAAATCACATATAGGAACTTTTAATGACATGTGCAAATTATGTAAGATGAACACCTGGAATAATGTTTCCTGATTCTAAAAGAAAAATCTGTATTTTTGATAATCTGTTATGTATTTCTAGATATTCTTTGAACCAACTATTTAAGTATATACAATGATTTCAGAGCTAAGACAAGCATTTAGAAGTTTCTACAGGGCTATGAATGTAGCTTAGTTGTAGAGCATTTGTCTAGCACGGCAAGATTCTGGGTTTAATCCCTAGTACTGAATTAAAAAATAGTTCCCACAATTGTGATGGTGGAAAGTCACAAATTAATGTAATTGTTATTACAATCACTGGTAATAGTATGGATACACATAATGGTATTTTTCTTTTTCTTCTTTTAAACTCATATAGCAAAGAACATTCATCCTTTTTCAAGTGCCATAAAGTAATCATAATTTCAACAACTTATCTCCAAATAAATTTTTAGGGTAATGTTCTAAATTATGGAAGAACTAATTCCTGAGGAGATCGATTTAGAACTAATTTCCATATGGCAGTTATGAAAAATCACTGTAAGAGTTGGGGACGCCTTTTTATGATTCAGCACACTTATGAATTAAGAAATGCTGTTATCACTACAGTTACATGAACTATATTTTTTAAATGGCATTTATTGCTTCAGACTTGTATTGTGTGTACATATTATTCTTTCACTTTTTTCCCTTCTCACATATTTAGAGTGTGAAACTCACAAGTCCCAAATCAGGTAAAGACTTCTCTTGACTTTAGGTGACATTTAGTCCTAAGAACTTGTTTTGTAAAACAGCTCATTTAGTTAGAGTAATTCACCTCAGGAAAATTCATAGTTCTTGTAAACAGCTTCTGCTGTCTTGATTTATTTTTGGGTTTCCCAGACTGACAATTTTGTTTTGTCATGGACAAAGTAAAGGCAAGATCCTTCAAAGAAACAAACAAAAACATGATGTCAGATAGGCTATTTGAAAATTGAAGTAGTTAAAACAATCTTGTGTAAAAAGAACAAAGCAGAAAAATACTATCCTACCTGACTTCAAAAAGCCAGAGACATCAGAATGTCAAGGTACCAACATAAAAGAGACACCCAAACCAGAAGAACAGATACATATCTTAGGGAAACTGACATATGCTTCTATAGCCAACCGACTTTTCACAAAGATGCTATGAACATGGATAGAATAGGACAGTATTTTCAATAAATGATTCTGTGAAAATTGGGTATCCACATGTATAACAAAGGTGGGCTCCTACCTCTCACAGGTCACCAAAAATAACTCAACATCTACTAAATACTTAAGTATAAGACCTAAAACTACGAATTGACTAGAAGAAACTTCAGGACTTTGGAATGGGCAAGGACTTTTCTGAACAGGACATTAAAAATAAAACAATAAGGAAATAAAAGCAAGAATAGACAAGTGGAATTACACCAAATAAAAGGCCTCATGCAGCAAAGGCAACAACCTGTGTCTTTAACTTAGAAACCTTTGTTCACTATGTATCTGACAAGTACAGCATTGCTCAGCACTACAGTGACTCAAATTTCATTCTGTTTTTTATTTGTTTATTTGGTGTTTTCAAGACACGGTTTCTCTGTGTAGCCATGGCTGTCCTAGAACTTGCTCTGTAGAGCGGGCTGGCCTCAAACTCACAGAGATTCGCTTGCCTCTGCATCCTCAGTGCTGGGATTAAAGGAGTGCACCACCATGCCCAGACTTAGTGATTCAAATTTAAAAAATCCTGTCTCAATAGGATATTCTGGATATTGACCAAAATGTGTAAGGCACATACAAAAAAATTAACAGCAAAAAATATAGTAGCCTGATTTAAAAATTGGCAGTATATCTAAATACATATTTCTCAAAAGAAGACATAACTATGGCCAACAGAGATAAAGATATTCAGGATCACTAACCATCAAAGAAATGCAAGTGAAAACCACAATGTGGCATAACCCCACTCCACCCAAAAAACAAAAGTGGATGTTGGAACCCCTGGATCTGGAATTACAGGTGGTTGTAAGATGCCATGTAGGTGCTGGAACTGAACCTACATCCTCTGGAAGAGCAATCAGTGCTCTTAACTGCACTCACTTTTTAAAAACTTGTTATTACTCCTCTTTTTCCTGAGTTTTGCTTATATTATATACTAAAAAAACTGAGTAACATCTACTGGGAATTCATAGGTACTTTGCAAACATTAGCATAGGCTGCAGTTGTCATTAGCATATTTATTCATATTATCATGTTACTCAAATATATATATGTACTATAATGTGGATATTAAAAAGCATGAGCTTTTGGAGCAGTCTATAATTCAAACTACCAATCTACTAAAAATTACCAAAAATATAACCTTAATTAAAGAATACACTTTCTGAGGGCTGGGCGTGATGGTACATGCCTTTAATCCCAACACTTACGAGGTGAAGTCAGGCAGATCTCTGTGAGTTCAAATCTAACTTGGCCTATATAGCAAATTGCAAGCCATCAGGGCTACATAATGAATCTCAGTCTCAAAAAACAAACAAACAAACAAACAACAACAAAAACCCCAAGCCAAACTAAAACAATAAACAACAACAAAAAACAACAACCCCAAACTAACAAACTACTTTCTGAGACAGGCATGGTGGCTCACATCTATAACCCCAGCACTTGGGAAGTTGCAGCAGAACTGCCAGGAGTTCAAGGCTACCATTGGTTATAAAGTAAGACCCTGTCTCAATAAAACAAAACAAAAATACATGTGTTTGGGGCTGGAGAGATTGATGGCTCAGTGGGTAAGGGCACTGGCTGCTCCTCTGGAGAACCCAGGTTTGGTTCTCAGCATCCACATGGTGGCTCATAACCATCCATAACCATCCATAACCACATTTCAGAGGATGTGGTTCCCTCCTCTGATCTTTGCAGGGATCAGGCACACGTGTGTTACACATACATACCTGCTGGCCATCTTAGTCAGTGAATAAGAACTCCAGCTGAGTAGAACCAGCATCCACCACCCCCTGCTTTCTGACCATGTGTGCAATGGGACCAGCTGAGCTTGCGTCCCCGCCACCAGGACTACCCCCCATGATTTTATACACACTGGGACTACGAGCCAACTTAACCCCTTTCCTGAAGTTGTTCTTGTCAGGCTATGTTGTCACAGCAACAGGAAAAGTAACCAGGACAGCAATTGCAGGCTACAATGGACTAACAGCAAAAATTACACAGCCACAAAACGTGTCCTGACCCGACTTTTAATTGGTGGATTTCTTTGCTTTGCTATATACTTTTCTTATTACAGATCTACATCAGGATGGTTCCCCTCCACCTCCACTCCCAGAAAGAACTCCAGAGTCCTTCCTTCTTGCTGATGAAGACTGTAAGTTGGTATTGCTTTCCAAAAAAAGTTATAAAATGAAATGTTAAAAGGTCTAAAATAAGCTAAGTGTGGTAGTGCATGCCTGTAATCTCAGACTTGAGAGGTAGATAGAAGAGTTCAAGGTCATCCATCCTTAGCCACATTGTTTAAGGACAGCCAAAGCTGTTTAAGACCTATCTCATAAAAACATAGACAAGGCTGGGCATGGTGGTGTGCCAGAAGGCAGAGGCAAATCTCTGTGAGTTCCAGGCCAGCCAGGGCCACACATGAGACCTGTCTAAAAAAACCTAAAACAACTAAGTTAAAAACAGTAAGTCTTACATGGAAAGGTACAAAGAATGATTAAATAAAAGAATAAATTTTAAAGTCTACGATATATAATGAAAATGATACCTAAGAAGGAAAAACATATAGGCCAAGCTTGAATATACACCTATATTTACGTCATAGGCTTAAGAAACTTTACAACAAAATGTTTTTCTTTCTTTTTTCTTTTTTGTTAAGGTTTACAGGCCCAATCCATAGAATCTTACTCTACTAGCTATCCTGAAACCATGGAGAACTCAACATCTTCTAAACAAACATTGAAGACCCCTGGAAAAAGTTTCACAAGGAGTAAAGTAAGACTAGAGATTTAGAAAACATCTCAGAGTTTCCCTTACTACAGGCTTTCCCTCTACAGCATTAAGATTGAAAATTACATTAAGCATCTTTATTAAACGGAGTTTTGATTTCACAGTCAAAATGAACAGAAAGCAAATCTATGGAATGAATTAGAGTAATTACAGTAACATGTTAGTATATTAAAATAAATGCATCATCTACCGAAAAAGTTCAGAATAGGTCCACATATGTGTAGGGATTTAGTACATTATGGTGTGTCTCAAATCAAGGGATAAGGATGGATAGTTTCATAATTGTTAGTGGGTTGAGAATGTAGCTCAGTTAGTAGACTGCTTGCCTAGAGCCTGCCTAAAGCCTAGAGTGTGACCCAGGGTGGTGCATATCTGTAATACCCAAATCCTAATATTTGGGAGGTGGAGGCAGGAGGATCAGAAGTTCAAGGCTGAGATATGTGAGACCATGTCTCAGAAAAAGTTGTTCGTCTAAATAAGTAATAATGTAGAAAATATTTAGGATCTACAATTCATGTTGACATCAGGATAAAGTCTAGATAGCTAAAAGATTTAAATGTTAAAATGTGTACATATACATAAAACTACTAAACAGGACCTGGAGAGATGCTCAGAGATTAAGAGCACTAACTGCTTTTCCAGAGGACCTGAGTTCAATTTTTCCAGAGGACCTAAGCACCCACTGGGGATCTTAACTGTCTATAATTCCAGTTCCAGAGGATCTGATGCCCTCTTCTGCTCTCCCTGGGCACCAGGCATATACATGGTACATAGACATACATGCAGGCAAAACATCTATACACACAAAATAATGAATCAGTCTAATTGTTTTAAATCTGAAAATGAAAAACAACCCCCCAAAGGACTCAACAACTATTTAAAACATCCTAAGTTACAAGAGTACTTTTTGGTAAGATATTTTTGTAATCCTGGGAGTATGAATGGCCTTTGGAAGGCAGTAAGGAAAAGGATACACACATTCCACTAAATGAAACAGAAAATTTCTGCACAGTGAAGTTGCCTGAAAATCAAAGATAAAGACCAAATTGGAGAGAAAAATGCCTGTGACTAGCACCATAGTCAGAGGGTATTGTATACTATATGATGAATTGCTATAAATCCATAATATAAAGTAAGAATGGGCAAAAAGCACATGGCTGAAGAGCAAAGCAACCCCCAGAGGCTGTAGTCAGTTCTGGAATACCCCAGCGAAGGGAGAGACGCCCGCATCTTTACCCCTGGCCTTCTGTCCCGTTGTTTCTAGATTATGTACTACAATGCATATGGTAAAATAGCAAGACAGAATCACGTGGTAATTCTATATTGAATTAAGATGTAAGATGGAAAAATAATTGCATTTTCACGGCTATTGTTAAGGAAACTAATCCTGTTAAGTCTGTGTTTTTAGTTGACTAAAGCATTTTGAACTTTATAGGAAAATATTAACTTTCCCCCTTTCTTCACTTTTATAGAGTTTAAAGATTTTCCGAAATATGAAAAAAAGTAAGTTCATTTGTACTTATTTTTTAGAATGTATCTAAAACTTTTAAATTTACACAGTTTTTTGGTATAATCACCCTATGAGAAAAGTTAACGACATCATTCCCTATTTGAACTTCATTATGGACCTGTGGGTTAGAGCGATCACCCAGGCCTTGACCTTGCTGGGCTCCATCAGGCTAATGTCGGGCTTCTGTTTACAGACAGAATTAGAATAACTACAGTGTTTGGATTGTCTACCCATACCAAGATGCTTAGATGTAAATATGTTTTTTACAACTCCTAGCAGTCTAACCTTCGATATATTTTCTTTGACACAGTAACAGCAAAGCATATTGTGAAACAAATGTGTTGACTTGATGCAACAAGTGAAGCCTTGACACATTTCCATTTTCACATGTATTACCAGCAGCAAAAGTCTGTTGCTTATTATTTTGCTGTATTGTAATGAAAATAAAAACCCACGGGCTCTTTAAGGTTTTGGAAATTCTCTTAGACACCTTATGTACAATTATAAGGTCTATAAAACACAATGGTATGACTCTTAAATGGGACCCACTTGGTCGGTCAGGAAGGACTGAATAGTTGATATATACTGGAACAATGGGGAGGGACAAGGAACACCAGGGAAATTTTGAAAAGCAAATCTCAGGTAGACAGTTGAGTGTTACTTTTCCCTTCAAGACTTGTCCTTTATTTTTCTACCCATAAAGTTCAGATTCTCAATAGTTTGCCAGCATTACCATCATACCTGACCTCTGAAATAATCTTTTCTCCAGTATAGCTAAAGTCTGGTTGAGAAACATGCCTTTCCCCCTAGAATTAGTCAAGGAGAATTTTTAACATTTCAAAAGGAAAGTATAGTAATGGGGAAAATTAAGTAGACAAAAAACAAATGAGTGACTGACTTGGACAGTCAGCCAAAGTTAATTTGATCAGCTTGTTTAGGAAACACTCGGTTTTCTTTCTGTAGATACAGCACTATTTTGGGGATATCAAAGAAACAGTAACGTCAGGTAGATTTATGCTGGCAGATCTTTGGGATACGGTGGGAGACTAAGCCTTCTTTCTCATGTAAAAACTCTCAGGGCATCCTCTAAATGCAGGCTAGACTGTATTTCTGTTTTTCAGCTACTTTCATTTGATATTCTTTGGTGGCTAAGAACAGTGTCAAGCCTTCACAATGACCCTGGAGCTTAGACCTGCATTAGCTTAGACTTGTCTACCTGTCCTCCGCCCTTCCAGATACTCATGACCCAAGAATTCCCCTTGCTCTTTCCCAATCTGGATCTCTTAGTAGTCTGCAGGGAAGTTTTTAATGAAAATAGCATTTTTATCTGTTATTTTGAGCTAGAATTTCTGTCTGCTTTTTTTTTCTTTATTTCTATGAATATTTGTTAAATGCCTGCTATGTGCCAGACATTGTGGAAGGGACCTGGTATATGGTGGTCGACAGTGATAATACTAGCTCTTAGGATTTTGTGCAACTTAAGACTAGTGAGCAATTGAGAAATTCAGCGAGTTCCCAAGTACATACATAATAACATTGTGGTAGATGCTATCAAAGAACACACGAGTAATTGTGAGACAATGAAAAAAGGTGTAGCTGGCTGTTTTATTACTCTTTGTTTTTTGGGGTGGGAGGGGCCTGCCACCCAGCTCCCAAATAAATACATGGAGACTTAATCTTTCTTATGAATGCCCAGCCTTAGCTTGGCTTGTTTCTTGCCAGCTTTTCTTAAATTATCCCATCTATCTTTTGCCTCTGGGCTTTTAACTTTCTATATACTTTTCTTCTTACTCCATGGCTTGCTGTGGAGCTGGGTGGCTGACCCCCGGAGTCCTCCTCTCCTCCTCTTGTTCCCCTTCTTCTCTTTTTCTCCTTCTATTTATTCTCTCTCCTGCCTAGCTATTGGCCATTCAGCTCTTTATTAGACCAATCAGGTGTTTTAGACAGGCAAAGTAACACAGTTTCACAGAGTCAAGCAAATGCAACACATCTTTGCATCATTAAACAAATGTTCCACAGCATAAACAAATGTAACACATCTTAAACTAATATTCTACAACAGTAAGGCGAGGCTGAAAAGATGGGAGAGTAGTAGTTACATTCTTATTGGTCTTGCTGAGTAGAGTTTATTTTAAGTGCCGTGAGACACCATAAGAGGGTTTTAGACAGAAATGTTATGCACTCTGGTTTTATCCTGGTTGCTATATGAAGAGTGGATTACAGGTGACAAGAATGGAAGTTGCCAACCATGATGCCCAGTGATGCCCACTTTTAGTGGGAAAAATTTTGAGTAAATTTTGTTATATCGTGTGTGTGTGTGTGTGTGTGTGTGTGTGTGTGTGTGTGTGTGTGTGTACACATGCATGTATGATGGGGGCACATATGTCAACTTGTGTATGGAGGATAACTTTGTAGAGTTGGTTTTCCACTTCTACCTTTACATGAGTTCCAGGGAACAAGCTCATGTCCTCAGACTTACACAGCAAACTGCTTTACCGGATGAGCCCTAATGAGACATTTTAATTGCTCAGAAATACTATAGTTGCAAGTGACAGAATGTCCAATTTAGGCTAACTGGAGCATAAGAGAAACATTGTCTTGTAACTAAGAATTCAAATAATTCATTAAGTAGTTGACCTTTCATTCCATATTGCTTTGTGTCATTCTTGTGTATGTATGTGTGTATGCCTGTATGCACACATGTATGTACATGTGTGGTCTGAGGTTGATGTCAGGCGTCATCCTTAATCATGTATCTACCTTATTTTCAGACAGGGTCTTTCACTGAACTGAGAGTTTACCAGTTGGCTATACTAGCTGGTCAGTGAGCTCCAGGGATCCTGCTCTCTTCATTTCCCACATGCTGGGATTGTAGGCACATGACTGCCATGCCTTGCCTTTTACCTGGGTTCTGGATGTCTGAACTCAATGCCTCACGCTTGCTCAGCAAGCACTTTACCTAATGAGGCATCTCTCTAGCCCCAGCTTTGTTTCGTTTTATAAGCTTACTCATAGGTGAATTTTTTTACCATGTGGTTTCAGGCTTCTGATGGAAAGAATTAGCTTCTTCCTGGTTGCTTAAGCAACAGTCTGATGACTAGTGTAAATTGGCCTGATGTTGGCCTGGTTCATTTGCCCCTGCCTGAATCGATTCTTAACAGTATATTTAACATTCCAATTAGGCAAGATAATATGTCTTATATTTAGCCACATAGTTACATGTGGTCACTGATTACTTAGTAATGAACTCAGACCTAAACATCTGGTGTGACCATGCCAATGTACCAACAATGGAAGCCGGCCCAAGTTATTAGTCATTTCATTCTTCTACAAGTAGAAATAGTTCCACTTGACGTGTGGAAACTGAAAATTGGGGAGGATGTAAAGGGAAAAAATAAGCTGTTTTTATCTGGAGAATACATGTTGAGCAGGCAGCATAAAAATAACTTGAGACAAGCCATAGGTAAAATATCAGTTCCCTCTAATATATATTTGCTGAGTATTTGCTGCCTTTTTTAAAAAAGGAAAAGAAAAAGAAAAAAAAAAAGGAAGAGGGGCTGGAGAAATGGCTCAGTGGTTAAGAGCACTGACTGTTCTTCCAGAGGACCTGGGTTCAATTCCCAGCACCCACGTGGCAGCTCACAACTGTCTGTAGCTCCAGTTCCAGGGGACTCGACACCTATGGCAAAAACCAAACCAAACCAAAACAAAACAAAAACCTAGTGTGCAAAAAAAAAGTAAAAAAAAATTTAAAGGAAGAAAAGGAAAAAAAAAGAAAGAAAAAATAAACAGTATTCTTTGGGACAAATATATTCTCTCAGTTCACATGTAGAGATTATTGACATCCTTGCACATCCCTATCTTTACCCAATATATTCCTGTCTACCCTCAGTTCCTAGCCCAGCTCTTGACACAAAGTATTAGTATGTACTGAATTGGAAACAACTGAAATCTACTGTGTATTCTAGTGATTAATATTCAAGTATCCTCCAGAAAGGAAATGTTCTAGATGTTTCTAGAAGTCCAATATTACACACCTATTTGTAAACATATATATGCAGTTCTCACATTGCATTTTGAAATGTTAAGAACAAATAAAAAAGTGTGTAGTAATTTCTCCTTGCTTATAAGCTGTTTTTGAGAAAGTTTACATAAACCTGAGAAACCTTTATTCCTATAAGACAATGCACATGTATAATGTAGATTAGGTTTTACAGAATTCCTTTTAAAACTTGGTAGAAACTGGTATATGTTTATATTAAGGTGTTAGGACCACACACACAATTTTAGCCTTACACATGGTAAATACAGCAGCAAATGAAGCAACATAACAATGCCTTTGAGAGACTATGGCTCTAACTTAAAACCACCTATGAGAAAAAAATTGCTGCAAAGTAAGAGATTTAGGAGTTGAGGACAATATAAGAAAAACCTCAGCTTGCCATAGATAAATTAATATAAACTGATCAGAGTTTGACAAAGATAAACTCCAAAGCCAAAGGTGAATTCTAAAGTAGTGGATTTTGTTTTGGGCCACCAACAAGCTCCCAAATTATGACACAAAAACTTATTATTAGTTAGGAATGCTTGGCCTTATCTTAGCTCTTGTTTTAATCTGTTTCTCTTTATCTACATTTTGCCTTGGGGCTTTTTACCTTTCTTTTATTCTGTATGTCCTACTTTTCTGTTTCCTGTGTCTGGCTGGCTGTCAGCTGCCTGGCTTCTGATCGCACATCTCCCCTCCTTCTCCCTCATTCTCTCTTCTCTCTTATTCCTCAAGCCTAGATTTCTCCTCCTACCCATTCTCTCTGCCCACCAGCCCCGCCTATCCCTCTACTGCCTAGCTATTGGCTGTTCAGCTTTTTATTGGATCAATGAGGAGGTGCCTTAGGCAGGCAAGGTGAAACAGCAACACACCTTTACATAATTAAACAAGTGCAGCATAAGCAAATGTAACACACCTTTATATAGTTAAAGTAATATTCCACGACACCATTCCTTTGACAATTTTCTTTAGTTTTGTGTCTTGTGACATAATCTGTTTCTGTTTGCAAACAGATTAAGTGCCACAAGTTCAAGGCCAGCCTGGGATACATAGTGAGTTCAGGCCTATAGACTGAGACTTTTCCCCCTCTCCCTATAATACTTCTAATATAAAAATATACTTTCAACAATTTTGAACATGTTTAACATGATACTGATATGTTCATTTTGGAGTATTGTTTGGGATTTCAATAATCATGCAAGCAAATAAACAGTAATCTAAATCTGTTGTCATTCTTACTCGACATAGTTTTCTTCTGATTACAGGTGTTTGCAATTCTTCCCCACCAAGCAAGCCTGCAGAATGTGTTCAGCCAAAAAATTCCAGCTCCTTTCTGAATTTTGGTATGTGTATTATTTTATAGCAAAGTTTAAAATGTATATAAATTTGGGGCTGGAGGGGTGGCTCAGTGATTAAGAGGACTGGATACTCTTCCAGAGGACCCAGCTTCAATTCTAAGCACTCATACAGTGGTTCACAACTGTTTGTAACTCCAATTCCAGAGGAGCTGATGCCCCCCTGCTGGCCTCTGCAGGTACTGCAAGCACATGGTGCACACACTGACGTGGAGGCAAAACACCAATAGACACAAAACAAATTAATTTTAAAGATGGTAGGAAGATCAGAAACTGTAATACTGCTAGGCAGACATACAATTGCCCAAATAGACTTTTATTTCAGAGGAAGAAGCAGAAAATGAGGGAGCAGTCTCTGTCATTACAGTTCTTGTCTCATTTGAGAAAATATTTACTAGAAATGCTCTATTTCTTTAGCTATAAAATTTGGTTTGCGCCGGGCGGTGGTGGCGCACGCCTTTAATCCCAGCACTCGGGAGGCAGAGCCAGGCGGATCTCTGTGAGTTCAAGGCCAGCCTGGGCTACCAAGTGAGTTCCAGGAGAGGCGCAAAGCTACACAGAGAAACCCTGTCTCGAAAAACCAAAAAAAAAAAAAAAAAAAAAAAAAAAAAAAAAAAAAAAATTGGTTTGCATTTCATTTTTTTTTAAAAAAAAAAAATTTGGTTCGCATTTCATTTTTTTTTTTTTTTTTTTTTGGTTTTTCGAGACAGGGTTTCTCTGTGTAGCTTTGCGCTTTTCCTGGAACTCACTTGGTAGCCCAGGCTGGCCTCGAACTCACAGAGATCCACCTGGCTCTGCCTCCCGAGTGCTGGGATTAAAGACGTGCGCCACCACCGCCCGGCGGTTTGCATTTCATTAACTCAATGTTTCAATTGTTACATCTTAAAAGTTAAGATTTGTATAAAATTACTTAAAAACATTCATATAGGACATTGTATGGACTATGAAGAAAACATGCAACTTTGCCTCGGGTTACAAAAGTTTTCTGCTTCCTTCTTTTCTCTAAGTCACTCGAGTGATGTACGGACCATCTGACTTTACATTGCTGTGGCCCTGGGATAAAATCTTAGCTGTGTCCATGTTGCTTCTTTTCAAACATGCCTGAATTTTAACAGTTTGTGTACTTGAAAGCATCACTTATATTTCATTTCTCCCTTTAATAGTGGCAATATAAGTTGTAAGAATATGTTACTTAAAAATATTTAAGTTGCTCTGATGATGCACACCTGTAATCCCAGCCCATGGAAGGTGGAGGCAGGAGGATTATGACTTCAGGGCCATGCTGGACTTGCATAGGGAGATTCTATCTCATTTTCCCCCAATAAGTTGAAAGAAAAAGAAGCATGTGGTTCAGGTTTACTTTTCCTGAATTGACCCATATGCAGAAAACAGTAGTGTAAAGCTGTTCAAAAATATTAAGAATTGGCTAGTGAATCACATCAAATAAAGGCATCTGAAATTTTCGTTGTTCTAAGCGGTCATGTATCATGTCCTCATCCCTCTTCCCAGTGTACTGGACTACAGTTAAGGTGCCTGTGCTGAGGAGATGGGTTTGATGTGTGAACTATTTAATCTGAATACTTTTCCTTCTCTTTATTTTCAGTGGAGTAAAATGTATATGAAATAGGCTCTGTACACTTCTCCCAACATTTAAAATCACTAGTTAATAAATATTAAATGTTTCTTTCAGCTCTGGCATACAGGGGTGTGTGTGTGTGTGTTTATTTTGCTACATATGTCAGGCTGGCTTTGAACTTGTGATCCTCCTATCTTAATCCCCCGTGTATTTGGATTACAGGCAGTTGCCACCATACCTGGCCTACTCTAGTTTTGTTTTTTAGACTTAAATGTAGTCATATATGTAAGCAGTTACTAGGAAAGGTGATGAAATTAAAGTATTAGGCATATCTCTGAGTTTTTCATTTTCTGTTCTCCCTTTAAGTTTCAAACACGTCATTTTTCAATTTAAGGCACCAAAGTTGCTAAGTGTAAGATGCTTTGAAAATCTAGCACAATCAAAGAAAAAGACATATATTGCTGGTAACAAAGAATAAATATCATCAGCCTGAAATTCTTTTTGAAAGAACCCACTAACAGCCTTTATTTTATGTGAAGTTTTTTTTCTTATTCTTTTTTTGTGGAGGCAAGGGAGGTACATTTCAGGAAGAAAAGTAATGAAAACTTATTTAACAGTTATTTCTTTCAGGATTGCTTTTTATTTTCTGAGTTTTGGAAACATAATATTTTAATAAACTTGGGAATTTCTGTGGCTGCATAGATACAGAACTAGATTTAGTAATAGCACATAAATAATAGTGCTTAATTTTTGTAACATGAATCTTAAAAGGTCTTATTAATAAAAACAAACCGGGAGCCAGGTATTGGGGTGAATGCTGAAAGATCAGAGAAACAGAACCAGCCACAGCCACCTCACCTCTCCAATTCCTCAGCTGATCTCATTTCCTCAAACTGGAAGCCTGTGTCCTCATTCGAATGGATCTCAGCTGAACTGTTGTTCAAAAGCCCAAAAACTTAACCAAAGAGGCTCTAGTTCCTGGTCCTCACGCCTTATTATATACCTTTCTGCTTCCTGCCATCACTTCCTGGGATTAAAGGCATGTGTCACCATGCCTGGCTGTTTCCAGTGTGGCTTTGAACTAACAGAGATCAGGATGGATCTCTGCCTTTGGAATGCTAGGATTAAAGGTGTGTGTGCCACCATTTTCTGGCCTCTATATCTAGTGGCTGTTCTGTTCTCTGACCCCAGATAAGTTTATTAGGGTGCACAATATATTGGGGAACACAATATCACCACAAATTTTATAAAAATGAAATTTGTTTTGTGATCAGTGGTGGTTGTACAACAGATAAACGGTGTTATGTACTCAGTTATTGAAGGCTACTATAATCATGGTTCTTCATAGAATTATTACCATTAGTTAATCTGTAAGTGGTCTAAATTTTAATATTAGTAGTATTTGGGTTGGAGGTGTGGCCCAGTGGCAGAATACTTGCCTTACGGTATACAAGGCCATTAGTTTGATCTCCAGTACAGCAAAAACAATATTTTATTTCATTTAAACTTTAATTACTATAATGCCTTTACAGTCTATTATTAAATTGATCAAAGATGGTGCTTAACTTTTTCAATGTTGTATTCTAAAATCCAAGTAATTTATTTCTACATAAAAGTACTCGTTTTCATCCAGCTTTTTGTCCCCAGGTTTTGGAAATCGTTTTTCAAAACCCAAAGGACCAAGGAATCCACCATCAACTTGGAATTTATAAGAACACTGGCTGCAGATGTGCCTGTAAATAAAACTACTAGAATACTGCTATAATAATAATAATAATATCAGTAATGATGTATATTGTGTCAATAGCTTTCAAAAGGAAAGCTATCTGTGAAAAACTTCAACAATCTTGTATTTTCATATTCTTTACATTTAGTTGGGAATTACCAATAAAGTTTGTAACTTGAGTTTATGTTTCAAAATGGATTTATTTTTCATTTTTGGAAGTTATTCTATTTTACTTTTTATAATTTATTTTCATTTCATGTACATTTGTGTTTTGTCTGCATGTATGTCTGTGTGAAGATGTCAGATCCCCTGAAATTGGATTACAGGCAGTTGTGAGTTGCCATGTGGCAGCTGGGAATTGAACTTGGGTTCTTTAGAAGAGAGAACTGCTGAGCCATCTCTCCATCCCCGATATTTTACTTTCTCTGTAAATGTGAATTTTTGTTTTGAGATGCTGAGCCATCTCTCCAGCCCCGATATTTTACTTTCTCTGTAAATGTGAATTTTTGTTTTGAGATGATGTCTTTCTATGTTAGTCTTGAACCTTTAAAGTGGTTCTCCTGCCATGGCCTCTGGCGGGCTGGGATTAAAGGCACACAATCAAACCCAGCACAAATGCTCATTTTAATAGGCCTGTGAGAATTTGATCTTATACCATGATAAATGAAGACACCATGGGAATAGGAAGAAGCCGAGTGCTAGAGAGGTCCCCAGGAATCCACAAAGACTATAGACTACTGGCAATGGTCAAGAGGGTACCTGAGTTGACCTACTCTGGTGATTGGATGGCCGAACACCCTAACTGTCATGATAGAACCCTCATCCAGTGACTGATGGAAGCAGATGCAGAGATCCAGGGCCAAGCCTCAGGCAGAGCTCCAGGAGTCCAATCGATGAGAGAGAGAGAGAGAGAGAGAGAGAGAGAGAGAGAAAGATATTATATGAGCAAGAGATATCAAGACCATGATTGGAAAAAGCACTGGGACAAATAGCCAAACTAGTGGAAACACATGAACTATGAACCAATAGCTGAGGAGCCCCCATGGTACTAGACTAGGCCCTCTGGATAAGTGAGACAGTTGTTTAGCTTGAACTGTTTAGGGGGCCCTAGGCAGTGAGACTGGGACCTGTCCTTGGTGCATGAGTTGGCTTTTTGGAACCTAGTGCTTATGCTGAGACACTTTGCTCAGCCTTGGTGTAAGGAGGAGGGGACTGGACCTGCCTTGGCTGGAATATACCAGGCTGGGCTGACTCCCCAGGGGAGACCTTATCTTGGAGGAGGTGGGAATGCGGGGTGGATTGGGGGTGGAAGCTGGGGGGTGGGAGGAGGGAGGACAGGGGAATCTGTGGTTGGTATGTAAAACGAATAGAAAATGTCTTAATAAAAAAAATAAAAAAGGATTAGATCGTAACTAAATTTCTCTTTAAAATATTTTTATGTGTAGAAATGTTTTTGCCTGCATGTATGGAGATATACCACATACGTGTAGTGCACATTGAGGCCAGAAGAGGGAGTTGGATCCCCTTGAATTGGAATTACTGGCTGTGAGTTGCTGTGTGGGTTCTGAGAATTGAACCAGGGTCCTCCGCAAAGCAGTAGCGCTCTTAACTATCTGAGCCATCTCTCCACCCCTTCAACTAAATTTCTACATTGCCTTAATATTAAACTTTTTTTTCTTTAATAGACAAGGTCTTGCTATGAAGCCCCAGGCTGGCCTCAAACTAATGATCCTCCTACTTCAACCTGCAGAATGCTGGCATTACAGGTGTTAAAAGGTTTTATTTAAAAAAAAAAAAAAGAAAAGAAAAACAAAACAAAAAAACCCATTGCCTGTGTTTGCAGTACAAAATTAACTGGTTGTGGTAATGACTGTTCCCAGGATGTTATTTTTGTCAAAATGGAGTATACCTCCCCTGTCTTCCCAAATGTGTAGACTAGAAGGAAAAGAAATATTAAAGAGAATGATGTGCAAACAATGGCAGTGATCATTTTTATATTGCTATAACAATGTCCAACTAGTAATTTTAACCAGTTATTCATTTACCAATTCTAGAAAAGTAATCAACAGCAGTTACTTCGGTAGCACTTTAAAATTATTTAAAATTCTTTTTTGATAGTGTTTTCTTCACAGAAAAGGCCCCATATAAACATGTGCAATTTATGTTCATAATCATTTAAAGGTACTGGTAGTTTTTAAAATGTATTTCTGTATAACTATGGATTCTCCTAAATAAATTAAATTTCAAGTCTAGTTTTCCACAGTAAATAAGTTATCTTTATTATTTTAAAGGATTCGCTTTACTTTCCTTATCAATTTGATATTTTTACTTAAGAAAATACAGCCTAGCAACAGTGTTATTTGTGCTTTAATAATTTTCATTAGGAACCCCAATGCTAGGGCTAACTGAAAGGTATTGTTACTTGCTTATTGTAGTACAATGTATACCCAGCAGGTGTTCAAGAACTCTATTTTAAACCATAACTTTTATTGCAGAAGTTCACTCAGCCTAAGTTACTATTCTGGGAACTAGTGGTGTTAAACCAAGTGCTTTTCATATGCTTAGTACATCACTGTAGCCAATTATTAAATGAATTTCTGAGTAAACACTATCTCCTGACGAACAGGGACGATTTTTTAAGTGTTTAAGTTAGGTTGACAACGCTTTTCACATTTGCAAATTTGTATTTATGGATTGAAAAAAACTTTAAAAATTTAAATCGAGAACTTTTCGTTAACTATGGTTGAATGTTCCACACGAATGCTGGATTCTACCTTTCCAACCATAGAAGGAAATGTGACTCTGGCAAGGTGGGGCTGCGCTCAGGGGACTCCTAGCACCTGCCTTAAGCCTGTAGCTGTAACCACAGCAATGCCACCGAAAATTGTTCAGTTTTTTTTTTTTTTCTGAATAGCAGCCCTGCTATACTTTACAGCAAAATCGTCATTTTACATATTCCGAATTTCTTTTCCTAGTCGTTTGTCAAGAGTAAAGGCTGGAGATTCTTTTACCTCACAAAGGCTATGAGAGAAATACGAAACTGAAAAGTCACTATGGAGACCACCTACTCCGAGCACGATGAAGAAGGACCACTGGAAGAGGATCCGCTGGAAGAGGATCGCCTGAACACACCGCCAGACTCCGAAAGCTATTAACATTGTTTGGGCCGTTAGGGCGGTTGGCGGCAAATCGCCGGCCGGCGGCAGTTGCGTCGCACCCCCGAAGCGTGCCTGGGCGCACGCTCCCTCTCTGCTCCTCCACTCAGCGAGCTGGGGAACGCGGCGGGCGGTGGAACTACAACTCCCGCAAGGCCTTGCGCGTCCAGGGCGCTTTACAATAGAAGCTCGGTTGGCGAGGTCTGCGGAGAGGTGCCGGAACTGCCGTTTCCCCCATGTTCAGCTCTACGAGAAGGACGGATCAGTGGAGGGTGGGGGAGAGACTCCAATGCCCAGCGGGCCCTGCGCGGGCGGCGCTTGCGCGAAACGCGGACGGGGGGGCGGTCGGGCCATTTAAATGTATGTTTGTGGGTGAAATGGCTGCGCAGGTCGGAGCGGTTCGCGTAGTACGGGCGGTGGCGGCGCAGGAGGAGCCGGACAAAGAGGGGAAGGAGAAATCCCATGTTGGGGTCTCGCCGCGGGGAGTAAAGCGGCAACGCCGGGCGAGCAGTGGGGGTTCTCAGGAGAAGCGGGGGCGGCCGAGTCAGGACCCCCCTCTCGCTCCCCCTCATCGGCGGCGTCGCAGCCGCCAACATCCCGGGCCGCTGCCTCCAACGAATGCCGCCCCAACCGTCCCGGGCCCTGTTGAGCCTTTGCTCCTGCCGCCTCCGCCGCCACCGTCACTGGCGCCCGCCGGGCCCGCTGTCGCTGCCCCGCTCCCGGCCCCGGGCACCTCGGCCCTCTTCACCTTCTCGCCCCTGACGGTGAGCGCGGCCGGGCCCAAGCATAAGGGCCACAAGGAGCGGCACAAACACCATCACCACCGCGGCTCCGATGGTGACCCCGGCGCCTGCGTTCCGGGCGATCTCAAGCACAAGGACAAGCAGGAAAACGGCGAGAGGAGCGGAGGGGTGCCTCTGATCAAGGCCCCCAAGAGAGGTGAGAGCAGGCGAACCGCCGGGGCTCGGGCTTCTAGGTCTCAGTGCCCATATCCCGCCCCTTTAGGACTGAAAGACGCCTCTCTACTCCCTTGAACCCACTGAAGTGGACTCGGGATTGCAGCCGGTTGCCACAGTTTGACCTACTTGAGGCTTCTCTCTGAGGCCAAGCTGTCAGTTTCCATCCCCGTTTGCAGTCCCCCGGAGCCTTTGCAACGTTTATTTTCAAATTCGGCAGGGTTTCCGCGCCGCGCGGTGCTTGGCATCGGATTAGTAGGTGGGGTACTAAAACCAGATTTACTAAAGTAAAGGCTTGTCACTGAAAGTCCCTTCTTGTTTTCTTTCTTGGAAATCTTTAGTTTTTCTCATCCCCGGCACCAAAATATTCACAGGTTTGATTCTGGGCTCTGAGTTTGAATTCTCAAAGAGGTTACACAACTCATTGGTTGCCTTAGCTTCAGCGAGGTTAAAAAAAAAAATCATTTATGGTATTTAATTTTCAGCTAGACGAGGTAAAAATAGCTGAAAAAATTTTGATATTATCCCTTTTAGTTCTTAGTATGGTAAACGATTGTCCGAGGAAGGTTTATATCGCCCTTTGAATCCTACAAAGTAGACCAATCTTTTCTCTGAAGAGAAGGAAGCGTGCAGTGGGATGTAGATACAGAGTCTAGTTCTATTTCACTCTGCCAGAGCACTGTTTGAGAATCTCTGCGATTCCAGCAGTCCTAAAGGTATTTCACATGGAAAATACAGGACTACGTGTGGTTTTGAGAGAAATTAGGTTGGCCAAAATTGGTGTCTTCTATTGCCAGATACTTGTAGCATCTATTTATATTCTTTGTGGAAGAAATGAAGTGTACTTTTGGTTATGTCGTATTTATACTTGATATTTATAACTTGTAATATCAATAATCTTGGTAACATGCTAATACACTAACATGTGTTTGAATACTGGGCCACTTCAGTTATTACATGTTAGTGAACTAGTCTTTAAACCTAAAGTTTTGAGTGTCTTGCATTTTTCCCATATAATTGGGCTTAGTGCTAACCAGTTTTTTTTTTAACGTGTGTGTGTGTGTGTGTGTGTGTGTGTGTGTGTGTGTGTGTGTAAGTGCAAATAATAAGTTTTCATTGGACAGAACTGCATCTTTTTTCCTTTGGTGGTATCCAGATGTCATTCTCAGGAATAGAACTGTGCAGGCTGACTGGTATGCTAGTTTCCAGGATGCAACTATTTTGCATATTGGAGTATCTTATTTTTTTTTTTAACCCTTATTCCTCACTCTCCTTGGTGTGTGTCCATAACACAGCTACGGTGAATTTTGAATAATCATTTCTTTTAAATTTGTGTTGCAGGAGAGAATACCAGGGCCCAAGATAGTGAAGAGACTTCATCTACATTGGTCTCATTACCAAAGATGAAATTTAAATTAAAAAAAAAAATCATTGCCATAGAACCCAGTCTCCTAAATGCTAGTTCAAGCTTCGGCTCCGGTCTGCCCAGCGTTGCCTCCCCCTGCTCCCTTTTCTCCCCTCCTTTGCTTGCCTTTTCCTTGTGCCTTGATATTCTCATTCTGGTGGCAGTCAGTAAGCCGCCTAGAAATGATCAGAGATCTCTGTCTCCCTTTATGGGGGAAGGTGGTGCTGACAGGTGTAATAATTCACAGTGGGCCTCTCTGAAGACTGTACAGGTCCCATGTCCTTTTAAAATCAAACAAAACAAGTCTCTAATATTGATGAATAGAATTTTCTCAGATGATGTAAATGTTCTCGATCTGTGTTGTCCAATATGGTAGCCATATGTGGTACTTAAACAGATTTGTAATGTGGCTGTGTGACTGAGAAACTGAAATTTTATTTTATTCTAATTTATAACATGTTGTGTACAGCTCATGGCTACTATGTACATGGACTGCACAGCCCTTTGACAATTCACGAAGAAGAGAAGTGGGTTAAAATTAGGCCATTTGAACACTCTCTTTGGTTTAGAGATAATTGTATTACATACTCTATCTATATTCTGGGGGAGATAGGGCCCTCCAATCAGGTGTATTTGAGGAGACCTGTACTGTAGTGGTCTAGATTCTAAAATGCACTGGCATTTTAAGAGTTCTGAAGCTCGTGCAGAAGACAAACTGGCTTAACATTGTTTAGTACAAGCCTTTTGCATAGTTGGACCAATACTTGTAAAAAATTAGTATGTTTATTTTTGTTACCTGCAGGTTCAGGAGGGATGGCTCTGGAAGTAAATTTTGGTTTTAGTGTCTACTTGTGTGATCAGGATTGAATTAATCTCTCTTTAGCCCCAGTTTCCTTGTTTGTAAAATGGAGTTGGGTATTTCATTCATATGGTTGTTACAGGGATTAAGTGGGGGCAGTGTATGGAAAGCATTTAAAATAATGCTTGGCTCATGGTTGGCTGTTAAAACTGGCTTTTATTTTTACTACGCTTGGGCCTGTAAATAACTGTAATAAAGAAGTAGATTGTTGTTTACAGAGGAATCTCATCCTTTGCTTATGCTAAGATTTTTAGGAATTTTCAATTTATTTTGAAATAATTATAGATTCACAAGAAGTTGCAAAAAATACCATAGAGCAGTCCTTTCTCTTTTCCAGTTTACTTCATTGGTAATATCTTACATAACTATTGTATAATACCAACACCAGGAAGTTGACATTGGTACAGTGTGTGTGTGGTTCTGTGCAATTTTATCATATGTAGATTAGTGTAACCACCACTGTAAACAAGGCACAAAACTCCGGAAAGATCTCTCATGTAGTTTCCCTTTGTAGCATTAGGCAATGTCTTCTCTCTACCCTCTCTACTGTTTCTAACCAGTAACAACCATTAGTCTGTTCTCTACCTTTATAATTTTGTCATTTGAGAATATAATATACTTGGGGGTCTTTTGAAGCTAGCTTATTAAACTCAGCATGAGATCATCCATG